GTGGCCGGGCCGGGGAATGACAGCTCCGCTTCCCCACACCGCCCCCCTTTCTGCACCGAGAAGCCGTCACGCTCGGGGCTCCTGTGCGCGTGGGCTTCTGTGCCTTCTTCCTCGGCTGTGCCGTGCTGTCCCGAGCAAGGCCTCGCCCTCTCCGAGCCTCCTGGCTGCGTCTGTAAACCGCGGTGAACCGCTGTCGCTCCTTCCTCGCCTGACTAAGAGACCGAGGAGGCACAGCGTGGCTCAGGGTCCCTGTCCAACCTCAGGGTCCCGGCACCACTGCCACACCTTCCCACATGCTGGGCGATGGCTCCGAAGGATGAGATGGCCCTGGGCCTGTCTTCTGCCTGGTGCTGCGGAAGGCCGCGGCCACACCCCGTGTCTCTAAGTGACCTGGTCTCCTTCCCTTTCTCAGGTTATTCAAATTGAAAAAGCGTTACCGCAACGTGCTGGACACCATGTTCGAGCTGCTGCCCCGGATGGCCAGGTACTGCCTTGCCTCTCGGCCCCAGGGCCAGGCGTCCTGAGGCTTGTGCCCACTAGGGGCGGGCAGCTGGGCGGTCATGGGGGGAGAGGAGTCCCCTAAAAGGACTGAAATCGAGGGTCTGACAGGCCGAAACCTTGACCACCACGGGTCTCCCTGGCACCTCTGTCCTCCACCACTGACCTGTCTGAAATCCTTAGTAGGGAGGGCAGGGAGCTGTCAACTCACTTACCACCTGTGTCTACGTTCACAGGTAAGGGGTCACCTGTGAGTCTACCTTCACAGGTAAGGGGCGAATCTCTGGTCAAGGGGCATCTGTTCAGAGAGTCTTCACTTGAGCCGTTTTTTTTACCCCAGACCTGAATCACGAGGCCCCTCCCCCGCAGGCACTTCCCAGTCGGCGAACCTGGCTAGGGGCATGCCTCTCCACCCGTCAGCTCCGTGGGGCTGAGGAGCCGGGCTGCCGGCGGAGGCGGAGGCGGAGGCGGGCTCTCCTGCCTGGCTCCCGGTCACCCTGTCCCTCTGACCCTCCTCCCCAGCCTGGGCCTCACCCTGCTCATCTTCTACTACTCCTTCGCCATCGTGGGCATGGAATTCTTCTGTGGAATCCTCTACCCCAACTGCTGCAAGTGAGTACGCCGCGGGGCCCCCGGCCGGGCTGGGGCCCGGGCAGCCCGCATTTCCGGAGGACTAGAGCCTGGTCGAGGGGGACCCTTGGTCTCAGGGTCCACGGGGACACGCCTGTCCAAGCCGCAGCACCCTTGGAAGGCCCTGGAATCACTTCACTTTGCTTTCAGGGCCCAGTTCATTGCAGTAGCTAAGTGAGGGGCCCGGAGGCAGAGGATCGTCTCTGCAGTGAGGACATTGGAGCAAGTTTTCCTGTCCCCCGAGCAGGGTCCAGGAGCCGCCCTCCAATAGGCCACGATCGGCTCACTCTTTGAGGGCCGGAGGTCTCTAGAGAACCAAGTGTGGCCTGAGTCCCGTGGCTTACTTCCATATCTCTCCAAGGAGGTGCCTGGGGACCTGGGCAGATATATCAACCAGGGGCAGCCATTTAGGATAAGACAGACAGACACCTGCAGGAAGAAGGTGTGTGGGGGCAGGGATAGAAAGTAGGGAGCACAACCCCCGATGACTTCTCCCTCCCTTACTCCTCCCTCCAAGCCACCAGGATGAAATCAGTATACTCTGCGATTAATTCTCGATTCACAGTGTTCTCTTTACAATTTGGTCTGTAGGGACTCAATCACTGATAAAGAAACACCTTCCAGAGACACTGGTAGCCGTTTCGAATGTCAGGCTGAGCTCAGGACCAGAAGCCTGCGGCAGTGGGTCGCAAGCCTCAGGGCCCGTCGGAACCACCAGGGCGGCCGCTTAGCAGTGCAAACGCCAGACCCACGCTGTGCACCCGATGCTGTGCGCCCAGCGAGAGGCGCGAGGCCGTACCCTCTGAACACGCTCCCCGGGCCACTCGTAGCACTAAGGGACATGTAGAAACCTCAGCGTGCACGTTAACAGCTCAGTCACGAAGGATTGGAAGGGAAGTAGCAAATCAGCTCTCAGAACAGGGGCAACAACCTATTCGAACACCGGCCAGGTGCTAGCGGAAGCCCGACGAGGGTCTTTCCCCTCCCCAGGCTTGCTGCCCAGCCCCTGACCTCAAGGGTGAATCCCAGACTGGGGACACCCAGGGGAAGCACTTGCCCACCGTGGGTAGCTGGAAGGGAGAAGGCCTGGCTGGCAGCAGAGAAATGCGAAGTGGACGTAGATAAGGGGGGCGGGGCAAGCCTGGGGGCTCCCACCAGCGCCCAGTAGGTGAGAGGAGCCAGGGCTCCCTCAAGCCAGGGACCTGAGCAGGAGAGCTGGGCAGGAAACCTCGCCGGGCCAGGACGGTAAGCACTCGCCCACCGCAGGTAGCTGGAAGGGAGAAGGCCTGGCTGGCAGCAGAGAAATGCAAAGTGGACGTAGATAAGGGGGGCGGGGCAAGCCTGGGGGCTCCCACCAGCGCCCAGTAGGTGAGAGGAGCCAGGGCTCCCTCAAGCCAGGGACCTGAGCAGGAGAGCTGGGCAGGAAACCTCGCCGGGCCAGGACGGTGCTTCTTGGTCAGACCTCGGTTTGCTTAATCTTTTCGACCTCTGTTGAGGTGACCAATCGTGTCGTGACCGTCCCCTCTGGCCTTTTGTCGCCCTGGCCAGTTCAAGTACAGTGGCAGACGCGTACCGCTGGCTCAATCACACTGTGGGCAACAGGACCATCGTGGAGGACGGCTACTATTATCTCAATAATTTTGACAACATCCTGAACAGCTTTGGTGAGTGGAGGAAGCACAGGTGGGACGCGCCCCGGGCCTGCTGCCTTTGTCACCCCAGGTCCCGGAGGTGGCGGAGCAAAGCTGTCTGGGGCCTCTCTTGCCCCAGCCGTTTGTCACACTTCTTCACGTCGTCTCTGGCCCAGAGGGAGCATGTGGTCTGCCCAGCCTTGGCGGGGAGGCCAGGCCAGTCCCACTAGTCACCAGGGGTTACTCCTTTTCTGATAGTTTTCAGTGGTGCGGAGCAGAAGAACTTCATGCTCAGCCCAGTGCTAGGGAACCACCCCACTCGTCACAACCCCATAGTTGCACGGCGGGACCCAGCCACAGCAACCTGGCACAGGGCCTTTGCCTTGCCTAGATCAGGCCCACACAGCTGTGCTCCCGTGGGTCCTGTGGAGGAGCTGGGGTCGGGGGAAATGGAGAGATGTGGCCCTGCTTCTCGAGGAAGGGGAGCCCCCCGTGGCCTCCCGGATCTGCACCCGTTAAGGTGCGGGTGCTCTTTCCCCACTGTCACCCCGTCCCCCTGACCTGCTCCAGTGCAGACTACTCGGGCAAAGGGCATGAGGACAGGCCAAGATGGCAGCATCCCCTTTGGGGTGGGTGCTCAGGGAGGGCCTTGCCTGATTTTTCTGGAGCCCACAGCCCAAGCTGTGGGGACGCCATCATTTAGGTGCATGGTATTCAAGATGGGTAGAGAGAGGCCACTTGGAACTGACTTTGAAAAAGTGGGTCTGATCAAGACACGTCTCTCTCTCCCTTCCCTTTGGCAGTGACCTTGTTCGAGCTCACAGTTGTCAACAACTGGTACATCATCATGGTAAGGACCTCAGTCAGCCCCTGGGAGCCATCTCCCCACCGTCCTCTGAGATCAGCTCAGGGTCTCCCCTCGCCCAGTGCGGGGTGCATTGCTCTTCTCATTCTCTGCAGGGAGTGGGGTCCTGGGTCACACGGGGTTGGAGAGACCACAGTGTGGGCTCAGGATCCTCCCCCTTTGCTAGACCTGGCTCCCATCCCCACTCCCCACACGTCTCTCCCCAGCAACAAAGAGCTGCCAGTTAGCGCCTGGGCCTCTGTCCGTCCCCTACTGTGTGGGAGACTTTTTCATCAAGAAATAGTGTGGCAAGGGTTGTTGGCTTTTGTGTTACATTCCTAAAGTCTTCCTGGTGCCACCCCTACTGGAGACAAAGATCATCTTGTTGGTCCCGGGACCATCCAGTTCTTGCAATACAGAGGAATTTAGACCCAGGGGACTGAGGTCCCCCTCCCGTGTCTCCCACAACCAAAGGCAGATGAGGAAGGGTCTGTAAAAAGCTGGACAGTGCCAGAGGCCACAGAATAGCCTGAGTAGACAGCAGCCCAGCCCCCTGAACCCCCAGGCGCTCACTCAAGGGCTGCGTCCCTTTGTCTCCAGGAAGGTGTCACCTCCCAGACGTCCCATTGGAGCCGCCTCTACTTCATGACCTTTTACATCGTGACCATGGTAGGTCTGGGGCCACGGGAGGCTCTTCGTCCTTCATCGTCCAAGTCTCCAGTTGCCCCTGCTCACTGGGCAGCGTCTGGGGGAGAGGGGGCCAGGGACACGTCTGACTGTCTCTGCCGTGGGGCCCCGAAGCAGGTCACATGGCTCAGTCCTCTGTCTAATCCCCTCTGCCTGTGCCCGGCCAGGTGGTGATGACGATCATCGTCGCCTTCATCCTGGAGGCCTTTGTCTTCCGAATGAACTACAACCGCAAGAACCAGGACTCGGAAGGTCTGTGCAAGCAGCTAGAGCAGGAGCGTGTGTGGCCTGCTGCCCGTCTGGCTGGCCGTCTGTCCAGCTGTCAGCTTCTCGGCTGTCTGGCCGTTCAGCTGTCTGGTTGTCTGACCTTCTGGCAGCTCAGTTATCTATCTGGCTTATCTACCTAGCTCTCTCATTTTCATTGTTTTTCAAATATTTAATGACAGAAACATGCTCTCGATCGCATGTTTAAAATAAAAACCGTACGTGTCCTCGTTTAAGAAAAGTCACATAGCAAGAGCCAGGCTTATCGTGAACATGTCACCGTCTGTCCCTCCTCTACCCTGTCTCCCAGAGGCTGCTCACTCTTGGCTGTTTCTCCTTTTAGTTATTGTCCCCACATTTCCGAGTAGCATGTTGGTACCACGGGCCTGGATGTGAAGGGGATGAGCCTCGTCGACTGCAGAGTCAATAGCGCTTTCTCCTGCAGCTTGACGCCGGCTTTCATAATTGCCTCCGGGTGGCCTAGCTTTCTGTACACTGGCCCTTCATGCTTTCCAGACCCTCCCATCAAGACTGCCGTACACCTGCCATTACTTCCCTCCATATGTCTATCGTATGGGGCTGTCTCTTTTCTTTTTGCTCGGAGACTCCCTCCCGAAACCCTCCGTCTCCTGGAAGCTGCTGGCCTGACCAGCGCTCCTCAGATCCACGGCAGCGGGAGGGGAAGGACCTTGAGCTCCAGGTGGCAGGAGGCAGAGAGTGTGTCGTGCCGATGCGGTTTTGCGCAGAGAAGAAACCGTAGGACACCCTTGGGGCCAAACCAGAAGAGGCCAGACTGGGGCTCTGAGCTCAGGCTCCCCAACTCTTGCAGTTGATGGTGGCATCACTGTCGAGAAGGAGGTGTCCAAGGACGAGCTGCTCGCTGTCCTGAAGCTGTACCGGGAGGCGCGGGGGGCCGGCTCGGACACCCCCCGGCTGCTGAAGATCCTCTCCCAGATGGAGAAAAACGAGGTGAGGGGCGACAGGGCCCCGCCCAGTGGAGGGGGCGGGTTGCAGCTGAACAGAGTCTCTCCCCCCACTGTCCAGCCCCACAATTTCGGTGACGCTTTTGGCTGGCACCATGGCAAAAGCCAGAGGAGAAGGCGAGGCCCGCTGTGGCTGGGCACCAGGGCGCGGGCACGGCGGAGCCTGCAGCCTCTGCTCTCCTGCAGCAAAACGCCGTGGTGTTTCTGGGACGGAGATCAAGGACCAAAAGCGACCTGAGCCTGAAGATGTACCAGGAGGAGATCCAGGTAGGAGCGCCCCTGACCACACCACCCACGTCCTCGCCTGGGAGGGGTCTTCCCCGCCGCTGAGCAGGGGCTGCTCTCCACCCCCGTCTTGAGTAGGGGGGAAGGGTCGGTGGGGAGATCCAGGATCATAGGTCGGGACCACTACCAGTGGTGTCGGGGCTCGGCTTTAGAGGGGTCGTTCGGGGCTACCCTCGGCCCGTCCCCCTACATAGCGGGCACCTTCCCCGTCTGCTCTTGCGTATGTCACTGCCACTTGTGCGTTCTCCAGAACCTCATCTCAGTTTCCCGCTCTGAGCCAGAGCTGCAAATGGGATGTGCACAGCGGGAGGCGTGACGGGCAGCGGGGGAGCGGGGGCCGTGGCAGCCGGCGAGGACGTGCCTCTCAGAGCACGGGGCCTCTTCCCGGGTCCAGCAGACGCCGCCGATAGGAATAAGGCCCGCTGTGCCCAGCAGGTCTCGTGGGTTTTGACTGTTTGGATTTTTTGTTCTAATTTAAGAGAAAGGAGAAGTCAGGTTTTTGTTTTTTGTTTTTTTTTTGCAAAATCTCCCCATCTTTCCACATCAGCAACTAAGTAAAATACCTTGCAGACTACCCCATGCGCTGGCCCTCTGCATTCCAGACAGAGCCCCGGCCCGCGGGCCACCAAGGGATGCACCCCGCCTTGACACCGGGGTCCCAGGGCTGGACAGGGGTCTCCCTCGCCAGCCACTGTGACGGTGCTGGTTTCCAGGGCATTCTCACAGCTGGAAACCCTGTTTCACCGAGACAGTCATGGCCAGGGTCCACACCCGAAAGGCTGAGGGGCTGCAGCGCCCTGAAGCGACTCCCACGTTCTCCGTAAAAACACAGGGGAACAGATACTCAGCGGCTCGCTGAACGTGGTGTCACAGGGACACGGAACTAACATGAGCTTCGGCGTCATGAAACTTGGGTTTGATTCCTGGCTCTGAGTGACCTTGGACGAGTCACTCAGCCTTGTCACATCTGTGAAAGGGGGACAGTCTCTGCCTCACAAAGCAGAGATGACTGCACGCGAGCATGCACTCCGGTGCTGTCCTGTCCTCCGGCCTCTGCCTGTCCATCCGCTCCTGGCCTCAGTTTGCCCTCTGTAATACAGACGACGGGGTGCAGAATGAGGCCGTCTCGGTATTTTTTAAGCTCGAAAGTTCTGTGGTTCAGACTCTTTCAAAACATACAGTATACGTTTTAATTCTTTCATTACCTGAATACGCCTGCCCCTGAAAACGTCAGATGATATGACAATACCCGTCTTAGGCAGATGAGCTGTTTAATTTTGCCCAAACTGCTTTCAGAGCCTTGTTGGAGGGGGCGACCCAGCAACGTGGGAGTTACGACAGGCCCTCAGCTCATCCAGCTTTATACAGCCTCTGAGCCTGGGTCTTCTTGGGTGTAAATGAGGACACAAGTCCTGCTCAGCTCAGAAGGGCTAATCGGGGAAGAGGGCATCTGTCGTGAATGACGAGAGATGACGTCCACGCGTCGGGGGTGAAGAGTCCCGCCTGACGCGTGCCAAGCAACGCTGCACGAGGCAGTTTGCAAACCTCTAATGAATTAGGAGCAGATTCCACTCTAATTTTTCTCTTTGGGGCCGTATCCAGAATTCCCAGCAGGTCCGGGGGTGAGGGGACCTTTCAGTCCTCGCTGGGTGGGGCTGGCAGTCCCCCGCCGCACCCCGCCCCCGAAGGCAGAGGCTGGAGGGTCATAGCAAGCGCCGCCCAGCGCGGTGACTGTCGGGCTGGGGGAGGGCAGGGCTGGCTGAGGGCGCAGCCCGCTCAGCCCCCCGTCTGCCCCGTGCTCCAGGAGTGGTACGAAGAACACGCCCGGAAGGAGGAGGAGCAGCAGCAGCAGCTCAGCGACAGCAGTGTCCCCGCCACCCAGCAGCTCCCAGGCAGCCGCCAGCGCTCCCAGACCATCACCTAGCCCCAGCGCACGAAAGCCATCTCTTCTATGCAATAACACAATAGTATTATTTTACTACGATGTATCGAAAGAATGTGTATGTGTGTGTGTGTATATATATATATATGTATCTATATATATATACACATAGTCATATATATGCACATATTTATAGAAAAAAGAAAAGACAGGCAGACAAGATGGGGTTTGGTTTGTAACCGCCTCGCCCCGTGTTCCTTAACCCCAGGGTCAGCTGGGTTTGGTGGGGAGTCAGGCCCCCAGGAGCCCATCCCAACACAGAAGACTCCAGAAGGCCTCTTCACAAGAAGACTGCTTACAATAGATTCCGCCGATCTCCGCAGGGAGCGGGCCAGCCCTCCGTGGGCCAGGCCCACGGCCACGGCCACGGCCACCCCGACTTCCTGGCCTCGCTTTCAGACTCCCCGCCAACAGCTTCCCCACGAATTTTCCCTGCGGCCACATCCCGGGTGTCTGTGTCTTGCTTTAGGGACAAAACCACTTAGGAAAGAAAGAACCCATGTCCTCGGGGTTCGTATTTCTATATATATGGTAATGTACCAGAATGTTCCTTTGGGGTCCAGTGCCAAGGACCTCACGGAAAGAGTAATTGAGGGCGGTGATTAGACCATGTGGTCAGATCTCGACCGGCACTGGGCAGCGAGAGGCTGGCCGATGGCTACCACCCCAAACCCAGTCCCGAAACGGGCTTTATCCACTCATCCCTTTAACTTGAGATTGTCCTGTTTAAACAGAAACGCATTTTGGTTAATTCGGGATTCTGCTATGGACCATCCAGATCCTTCCATGTGCATTAGGTTCCGCTGCTGGGAACAGGAGCCAAAAGCACAGACACCCTCTCCCCGCTCCGCGAGCCGTCCACAGCAGCCCCACGGCCGAACCTGTAGGTCCCCTTGGGCAATGGACTTGGCTGAGATGGGGTGGGGCCTCAGCTCACCCCAGGGTCTCACTGGCAGGAGAGGTTGGGGCGGAAGCAGGTCCAGGTGAACGTTCAGTTCCCCCAAGTGCCCCTGTTTCCCCAGGGGAGTTCTCTCAGATCAGTGTGGTCAGTCAGGGTCGGCAGCCCCGGTGAGTGGCGGTGGCAGAAGCCGGGTCGGAGTAGAGGGATCTTGGGTTCGGTTCTCTGGGCTGCAAACCTCTCATGGTGCAGGAGGCAGAGGCGACGGGCTGCAGGGGTGGGGGAAAGGGGGGGCGGGGCAACAGCCCCACACTGAGCGGCCTGGTCCAACCCAGTTCTCCAGCGGCCTCCACTTCCCCTCGCGACTTAGGAAGGCGGGTGGGCAGAGAGGTTCCCCTCGCCATGTTCTCCTCCCTGCAGGGCAGAGCCTGGTCCCAGGGGTGCAGCACCAGCTGCCCCACGCCCTCTCCCCAGCCATCCCCAAGGCCCCGTGGCTGACACCGCAGCCCTGCCCCTCACCAGGGGAGGAGTGGTGGACGTTTTTATTTTTAAAGCACAGGCCTTTGCAGACAAAGGAATCCTTGGGGACCCCTGAGATTCCCACGGGGGTGAGGAGGCTGATGCTGTCCTGTTCGCCTCTGGAGGGCCATCAGCCTCCGAAGGCAGCTCGGCACTGAGCCCTAGGCCAGAACCCCTTTCCCTCTCCAGAGAAGGGACTTGCACAACTGGGTGCCTTTTAACTTTCGTGTACTGAACCGGGCATTTTGGAAGCAGGGATCAAGGGGTAGCTTTTAAGGGGGGATGGGAATGCTCTGACCTGAGCACGTGGGCCTCATTCCAGTCCCTTTCTCTGCCCCCAGAGGGCTGCAGACCTGGGAGGGGCACCAGGGGAGCTGAGGGCCCCCCGGGGGCAGGGCTGGTCCTCCCAGTCCTGTCCTGGGAAAGGCCCTGGTTTTAGCTAGGACCAGATAGTGCTGACTCCAGCGATGGGTCAGCGGCCTTGTCATGGAGGCTAAGGGCAGCTGTTCCTGCAGGGTCATCTGTGGCCTCATCAAGTTGACCCTCAAACTTGCACATAGGCTTATGGAGCAGGGAGCAGGTGTCACCCAGGGCTGCGAGCTCTGAGGGACCCAAGACGTCATCCGGCTCAGATGCCCTCTCACCTCCCATGTCATGGCCCAGTGAAACCGAGCTGAGACTTGCCACCTTGCCCTGGGTCAAGCAATCTGTCAGTGGCCACTGACGTGATGGCACTGTGCTCTTGCCCTGCTTTTTATGGGGGTGGGGGTTGGGGGTGTGTGTGTGCGCCATCTGGCCCCTCCCCCTCGCTTCCCTCCCCCCCACCCAGCCTTACTCCATGCGACAATCATTTTTTACGGATAACGGGAGCAACGCTGTAAGGTTTTGTACGTTGATTTGTTACCTAGAAAACCCACTGTGTCTCCAGACTTCTGGCATATTAATAAAAGAGCCTCTGCTTTGTAAATGTGGCTGCTGCCTCGTGGTATCTGCCAGGTGCTGTTCTGTGGCTTCTGGTATTGTACGGGAAGCGGGGAGGGTCGCATCTGGCCATTCCTGACCCAACCTCAGCCCCACCCTTAGACGTGCCGTGAAGCCCAGATGTACTGGGCCCAAGAGGCTTCAGCCCTGGGACCAACCGCTCGTCACTTAGCCCGGGTAAGAAAGAATTGGTGAGCGCGGTATGCTTTCTGTATGCTTGAAACATTTAACAACGTTTTCATTAGAAAAAAAAGACAGTTGAATCCCTTTACTGCCCGCATAAGGCAATCGGGCAAACTCTTCGGTTGCCTACCGAAGAGGCAGGTCACTGGCAGCAGGATGCTGTGGGGTGGGGGAAGGCACTCTTTGTCCCCCCAGAGCTGGCAGGCACCAGAACCCCAGTCCAGGGCTTCCCCTGAGGTAGGCACAGGGCACAAACTGACTCCTGTTTCGCAGCTGGGGAGACCCAAGGTTCAGCGCACAGAGTTTGCCGCAGCCGGCAGCCGGCAGCCAGCTCCAGAGGTCGACCGAGTGCTGTACCGTCCAGTATGGTAGCTGCGAATGTGGCCAGTGACACAAGCTGGCATTTCAGAGCCGTCGGGTTCAGGAAAATATATTACTGTTAATTTCACCTGTTCCTTTTGGCTTTGTGTAATGTGACTAGAAAATTCAAAATTAGGTATGTGCCTCTCGTTCTGTTTCTGTTGGACAGTGCAGCTCTAGAACTCAGCCCACGTTGGCCTGAGGCCCCGGCACACGGCGTTCCGTCCACAGGTCCCAGTCACCCTGACCCCTGACACCCGAGTTCGGCACCCTGACCCCCGACACCCAGGTTCGGCAGCCTTTGGAGCCCTGAGGAGAAGAAGCAGGAGAGCAGGGAGGGGCCCGGTCTCACAACACCAGCCCGGACTTCATCCCAAACCCCAACCTTCCAGAGGCTCTGGCGATGATGACTCAAAAGTCTTCTGCCTTCTGTCTGGAACTGTCCACCCACAGTGAAGCCCAGTCTCCAAAGTCCCAGAAACGAGGCTCGGCTCTCCTTCGTGAACACAGCAGCGCCGTTAGCGGAGAGAGCACCCCACGGAGCCCGCACCCCACTCACTGCCGCGCGGGCCCCGCCTGCTCTAGAGAAGGCACCGCCACCCTCCATCTTCCATCTCACCGCCTGCAGTGACGCCTCCTGACCACCAGGTGGACCCGGACACACGGCTTCACTCAGACACTTTTCAAGTGAATCACCCCAAATTCGGTGAGCAGGGCCACTACGAGGAAGTTCACGTAGAAGAAGAGCAGACAGAAGCCGTAGACTTTGTTCAGCTGGAAGCACTGCAGTGGGACCGAGACCAGGGAACAGACGAGGCTGAGGCCCAGGGCGCCTGCCAAGACCCACACCAACAGTCCGTCCGGCTCCAGCTGCGGGGGAGCAAGGGAGAGAGGCCGGGTCACTGTGGCCCACACTCAAATTGAGACACTAGGGGCCAGTGAAGGACTTTCCACCTGTAGCCACAGGGCCTGCCCTGGTGGATGGCACGCCCTACCTTGAAGTTCAAGGTTTTAAGCCACCTAGTTTTTGGCAATTAGTTACGGTAGCCCTAGGAAACTAATACAATATAATTATGTATTTATATCATATTAATATGTGTTAATAGATATATTAGATGGAATCGTTGGAAAATTCTCAAGCAACACAAGACTAAAAGGAAGTGAAACTGTCCCTGGCCCACTTCGCTTCCCTCCAGACTTAGCATCTAAGATCTATCCAGGACTTAGCACTAGGTTCTCTGCTAGGTGTGTTACACACCACAGGCTTTCATCTTCCTGGGGGAGCATTATCTACCCCAATCCACAGATGAGGAAACTAAGTAATTAGTAAGTGACAGGGCCCATATGGAAGTCCCAGCTCTTAACCTGCCTCCCCATACAGTTACATATATGTACACACATGTGTAGGGTTCACATATATACAGACCTGTACATCAAATCCGAAAACAGAAATGGGATCATACATTAGATGAGTGTTTAAGAGCGCGACCTGTGTTCTGTACCCGACAGTATACTCCATGGGCATCTTTCCACGAAGACGTCCATGCTGCCCGATGTCTTACTCAATTACAGCAGAAGCCTTTCCTAAACTGAACACAAACGCAGTGGACTACAGACACACACACACACACACAGACACACACAGACACACACAGACACACACACAGACACACACACACACACAGACACACACACACACACACACACACACACACACACACAGTCCACAAGGAACTAGAGAAAAGAAATAGGGCCCCACAGGGGGCCAAGCCTAAAGCCTCATTACCTGGAACTGCCTGAGAATCCTACTGCAAGGAATCAATTAAACCCAAGAAGAGTATAAACAAAACTCGCAGAGGGTGTTTACCTTTCAGAAAAGCAAACTTTGCAAGCAAGGGTAAGTAGCTGTTTGCTTCTGGGCGTATCCCCTGTGAAAGGCCTGCCCTGCCGCTAGCTAATTACAAGTCAGCCACAGAGTATTCAAGACCTAGATGCCTCTAGGAGAAAGAGGTGGGGGACTTGGTTCCCATCAATAACGCCATCTTTCCCTCTAGATATCCCGAGTGCTTCCACCTGCTGAGCCATAAAACCATCCCTTAGGCCGCATCCCCTTCCCATCTGAATCTTCTCCGGTTTGGCCTCTGAATTCAAGTCCCAGATAGGGACTGCAAACTTGCCGTTCTGGGCCAGTCTGCCTTGCACAGGGTGCTGTTTGCCCCGTGCCGTATTTTAAAATAGAAAAAGTTCACCTAGGAATCTTGAAAATCTGGACTCCCGGGCCACGTGAGGCCCACCTGAATGGCCCCCATACATTACGGTTCCCCACCTGGCCCCTCAGGTCTGAGTTGTCCACTTTATTACAAGTGTTTCTCAAGGGTTTCATCAGTTTCCGGGGAGCTTATTGAAAACATGTAGATTTCTAGCCCCCACCCCCTGGAATGCCTGGGTCAGGAGGTCTCATGGGCCCCCCAGGAAACTCTCAGGTACCCTTGAAGTGTGAGAACCTCCACCCATCACTGCGTTCCAGAACCTTCTCCATGTCTGGTGGGCTTACCCCTTCTGGGGCTGTCTTCCATAGATGGCGTCTTCATCCTCTCTCCTCGCAGCCCACCCTCTGTGGGCAGTGTTGGGATAAGGTGTTCAGCCTGCCCCTTACCTCATAAATGCTTATCCAGGAAGCGCGGGGTGGGGGGCTGTTATCAACCACATTTCACAGGTGAGGAAACTGAGGCAAGAGACTTAACGGACGGGACGTACCCCCGAATCCAGGGCCTTCCTGCCCCGTCTCCCAAAGCTACATGTCAGTTAGTCTGTGAATTTGTAACGAATACATTTTTTCAGCCTTCCCGCAAAATATTTTTAAGATATTCTACAAATCAGACTTGTCACAAATTCAGACAAGTCCTCTTCCAGGAAGTGTAAAGTGCTTGGATGTGAACGGCCTCCCGTCCAGAGGACTGGAGGACAAGGAGATGGCATTATAAAGAGGTCCCTTGCAGAAGCGTCAGGCCACTCACCTTTACCTCCGGGTGACCCCTGGAGATTTGGAGCAGGCAGCCCAGCCCCACTCCCACCAGCATATCTGCAGCCTGGCTCAGGAAACTCGCTGGAACAACTTCCCCATAACCCTGACCGCACAGCTTGTTGGCTTTCTTTATGATCTACAAAGCCCTTCCAAGAGCCTCCCCCCCAAAAAAAATCCTACCTGAGGAGACCCTATCCAGTTTTAGGACACTCTGAAAAGGTGAGTGTCCAGTGTACACTTTGCACACCATCCGTAAGGATCACATGAGGTGACGGAAATGCTCGGTAGCTGGTAAACCACTCAGCAGATGGAGAAACTGAGGCTAGATGAGGTGAAGTGACTGCTCATGGTCCGCTGGGGGACTGGTGATGGAGCATGGGTCGAGGCCACCTCTAGGGGTTGTTCAGGGCACACTACTCCAGGCAAGGCTCCCTCTTCACCCCAACCTGAGAGGTCAGGAGAGGCCACAGCCTGAAAGCCAGGAACAGGTCTCAGTGGGTACGATAGGGCCACTGAGAATTACGAATGGCAGGAACACATGCACGGTCCCCGCTGATTCTGACTGTGCTGTGCCAGCTACCCGCCCCGCAGCTCACCCACAGTGGAGCCTGGGGAAAGCTGCATTTTGAGTGCTTTCAAATAATATCACTTCATTTCACAACCAAGAATATCTACCACTTGCTGAATGTGTGCCGTGTGCTGGGCACTATGCGCGGGCTTCGCCTCATCGTCAGTCTTCATCTCACCGTGTTTCTCACTTACAGAGGAGAATGCTGACTAAGGTGCATGCGATGCCGCGGGCTCCAGAGTGGGCACATGGCAGCGCTGCAATCGGAAGCCAAGACTGTCTGGTCTCCAAGCCCCTTCCTTTTCATGGCCCCCTGTGGGCTCCAGGTCCTGCCAGACCTGTGTATAAACCAGGGAGTGGCAATTTACAGCTTGCAAGTCAATCTGGCCCCCTGCTCACTTTTATAAATAAAGTTTTATTGAGACAGAGGCATGCCCATTCGTTTATGTATTGTCTATGGCTGCTTTCATACTAAAGCAGCAGAGTTGAAAAAGAGATTCTGTGGCCTGTAAAGTCTGAAATATTTAATCTCTGGCTCTTTAAGAAAAAGTTTGCCAACCCCTGACATCTAGAGACCATGACATCTATCAGCAAGAGGGTGAGGTTCTTCTACGGGGCACACCTAAGCTCAGCGTTGGGCATCTGCTGATAATACCACCACCCTAACAATAATATCTGCCAGCCACTGAGCGCTTACCAGGTGCCAAGCATTTCTGTCACCTCATTCAAGCCTTACAACTACCCTTCTGAGGTCAGTTGTCTCAATAGCCCCATTTTACAGGTGAGGAAGCTGAGGCTCCAGCAGCTGAGTCACCTGGCCCAGGTGTTACAGTGAGTGCCAAACCCAAGGGTGACATGGAGCGCACCCATGGCTCTCAGAGCCCAAGCCACCAGCGCTGAGGCTCGGGCACCCCACGAAGGATACTGAAGATGATGCCACCGAAACAGGCCGAGAACGCCATCCGCGGGTAGCCCTGGCGGGCCAGCGTGAAATCGGAGAAGGCGTCTGCATGAAAAGGAGAGAAGGCCTTGAGCAATGAGCGGCTTCCCTCGGCCCTCCTTAGTCATTCACTCCTTCCTTCTCACCCAGTCATTCAGTCAACAAACACAGATGAATGCCCCCTGGGTCTGGGTGCTACGGGAGGCAATTCCCTCCTTGATTTCTTTTACCCCATTCTTTCCCAGCAGGGGCAAATTTGTGGATGTGACATGCCACCACCAACTTTTCACCCAAGTCCCGTCTGCTGATAGCACACACAGCACCTCCATGCAAATTAGGAAAAGGTGCCTAAAAAGGTGAGTGAAAGGAGAGCTAGATTTTGGTCCCCCACCCAGACGCTTTGTCTGGATGCTCTTGTGCAGTGCGCAACCTGAACAACCCTGCTTGGCAGCTGTAACTAGAGAGGGACACTGTATGTATGCGTGAATGCCTATACATGTCGCACACGCATCTACACGTTCAGCATGGTTGGCTGCAGTGGGCTCCATGTCCTGCCTGAACTCTGGGGAGCCACTGAGTGTCCGTGCATCAGAGTGTGTGGAAAGAGGCTGGGCATCTACAGAATCTCCTGGTTCGGGTGTAGTTCCGACACTCAGTGATGGTCACTTCGAAAGGACAGTGGGCACTAAGCACATGCTGAGGGCAGGTGCCTTGGACACCCCCGCCCACACACAATTCTGCTTGGGGGAGCAAAGAGCAGCGATGTGGCTGTGCTCACCTCAGCACCCCACCCGGCCCTGACTCACCTCCGATGCTGTTCCCCCAGGCCAGCAGCGTGAGCCCCAGCACGGTGTTGCTCAGCCGGAAGACCACGCCTAGCGACCGTAAGATGTTCACCACCTCTGTGGCAGCCGCGTTGATCCACAGGGCGCTGGTCAGGAAGCCCAGGAAAGCAAAGATCTGAGGAGGGAACAGCGGGCCGACAGGATCGAGGCCGGCCCCCAGTGGGGACACGGCCCTGATTCCCCACCTGTAAGATGGAGTGATAACGGTACCTACCTATTGAGGTTGTCATGACCATAAAATGGATTAACAGATGCAAAGCAATGGAACACTTGCCACATGGGAAGTGTTCGATAAAAATGTCAGCTCAATATTACTATTTTGTCAAGAAAGGGGTCATCATAGCTTTCATCGGATTTCCAGTCTGTGGGCCGAATGCCATCCCATCACCACAAAGAGAGACTCCATACCCTTTAGCAGTCACTCTTCACCCTCCCTCCCTCCACCCCAGCCCCCCGACAACCACTACTCCACTCCCTGACTCTCTGAATTTGCCTGTCCTAGACATGGCATATCGATGGCCTCATGTGTTTCTACAATATGTGGTCCTCGACCAAGCATTCACTTAGTGCCATGTTTTCAAGGCGCCTCCGTGTTGGAGCGTGTGTCAGCATTCCAAAGACTAGGAAGAAACACTGGCTGAAAACCATTTCTTTAAAGGATCAATTTGCTGAAAACTCAGCCCCCTTTAGGTTGGTACATCCATTCGGTTTCTAAAAATAAAAACTACGATTTTTTTTTTTTATCAATAAATAGTAAAAAAACACAAAAAATTTAAATCGACTTTTGAAGAAAAAAAAAAATCTCTGGACAAATGGCCTAAAAATTCCTTAGAGTATTGCAGAGGGGAGAATGGGAAGAGACACCCACAGAGACCACTTCCACCACTAGAATGCGATCGTCAGGAACCCAGGTGTTTCCTGGTCGGCGTAGTGGAAAAGGGTCTGGAACGTCTTCAAGGTTAACATACTGTCAGCATTTGACCCAGCGGTTCCGCTCCTAGGAACACACCCAAGAGGAATGAGAGCATACGTCTACACAAAACTGTTGACACAAATGTTCACGGCAGCCCTGTTTATAAGATCCAAAAACTGGAAACAAACCAAATGTCTGTTGACAGATGAACGGAGACACAAAATGTGCGACAGCCACGCAATGGAATATTACTCAGCCATGAAAAGGAACTAGTTCCTAACACATGCTGCAATGTAGATAAACTTTGAAAACATTTTGCGAATAAGTGAAAGAAGCCAATCACAAAAGACCACATATTATAGGATTCCATTGATAGGAAATGTCCAGAACAGGCAAATCCAGAGATGGGAAGCAGGTTGGCAACAGTCAAGGGATGGAGGGAGAAGGGGGATGGAGTGTGACGGCTGGATACGGGGTTTCTTTTTGAGGTGATGAAAATGCTCTAACATTGACTGTGGTGATGTTTGTACAGTTGACCCTAAACAATGTGGGGGAGAGGTGTGGGGAGCAGTTAGGGGCACTGACCCCTGTGCAGTAGAAAATCTGCATACGCCTAGTCGGCCCTCTGCAGCCACAGATTCCCAACTGTGGATCAAAACTACAGCTGACCCTTGAACAACATGGGTTTGAATTATATGGGTCCACTTACAAGTTCAAGGGTCGACTACAGTAGAAAGTACTGAACTGTACATTTCAAATGGGAGAATTTACAAAAGCTTCGCCAAAAAAGCAGGGGACGGACCTTGAACAGGTACAAAACCCCTCAAAAGCAGCTTAGAAGACCTGTCATTGCAGAAGGTGACTACTGGCCTAACTGCCCCAGAGGCGCAGACGGGACATTCGCCTGGGAGAAGTCAGTGTCCCCCCTTCTCCCAGCTGGGAGACCCCAGGATTCTTACCCAGTGAAGCTTGGGGGGCTTGCTGTTGGATGTGGCAAAAAAGGTCACTGAAGCCACGGCTGTGCCCGCAATCACCACCATGCCCCAGATGGGAAACAGGCCACCTATCTCATAGACGCCATCTGCAGAGGGACGAGAAAGGGAGCTGGTACTCTCCGCAGCTTTGGCTCAGCACCTTCTCTTGGAGGACTCCCTCCCCCCAGAATGACTGAGGGGATCCAGGGGAGAGACCCACGAGTAAAACCCCGTTACCCTCAATTGTTCAGATATAGATATACGACATATCTCTTATGTGCCCAGCCCTGTCCTAGACATTTCAGGGGGATGGAAAAATTAAAGACACAACCCCTGCCTTCAAGCTAGTCACACAGGAAAGAAAAGACAAATGTGAAAAAGACTGTGCGGCTTTTTGCTGTAGAACTGGGATGCGTATAGGTAAGCCTACTTGCTACAGCTGCCCCCTTCCCATGCCGCGGCAGACATCGCTACTCCACCATGATGCTTCTGCCCACCTGAGCGTCAAGGCGGCATCCCCCGTCCAGGCATTACCAATGGATGGGCATCACCCAGCGATACAGGCGGTACAAACCCAACCTTCCCCACTGATTCTGGAGCCCGGCACCTGCTCTCCTGATAAATGCACTCCACGAACCAAGGCATCATAAAGTTATGAAGGTTCCAGAGGCTTCGCATTGACACACTGAAGAGAGGAAACCCTGCAGGCAGGCAGGATGTTCTAGAACTCTCCACACCCCACCCTTTTCACCACTATGGAGTCGGGACTGGTCTGAAAGGCAGTGGGTGGTTTGGAGGGCTTCCTGAAGCGCGGAGGAGGTGAGGTGAGTCGTAAGTGGGGAGGGAGAAGCGGGGGCTCCGTGGGAAGAGGGGAGCGGGGGGGTGGGTGGAAAGGAATTATGTGGGTTCGGGCCAGCAGAATGGGGCGGGGGAAGGCGGCTGCTCAAAGGATCGCTGGGGGGTGTGGACTTTTTCTGAGAGGCATGGAGGAGCCATGGAGGTCTTTGAGGGGAGGGGTGACCACGACATGTGACAAGTGGCACTTTAGAAGGGTGGCTCTGGTGATGGTCTACAGGAAGAGGGCTGGCAGTGAGGTCAGGAGGCTCTGCCAGCAGACACGACACCCCCCTTGAATCATGACACCCTCTTGGGCAGGGAGCCTTGCTCAGCCCAGAAAGGGGTCACGAAGGCTTTAGCCTGAACGGTCTTTCCCGCGTGTGGGTCTGTCACCACTAGATGGTGTTGGGGCACGTCGCAGGACACTAAGCACCACAGGATGGCATCTCAGGAAGGCGATCTTCAATTCTCTCGTCATAGCAAAGAGAAGGTCCCCATGGGGTGCTAATAGGTCTGGAACATCTCTAACACCTGCCACATGCCCTATTTAACAGGAGCTCCTGGCTCAGAGGCTTGATTTTGATTGTGTTGATTTTTGCAGTTACCTTGAATTTATTCAAAATGATGCCAGTTTCCTATTGATGCAGGTGATAGAGTTGCCTACGCAACGAATTTAAGTTTGGCAAAAAAAGGAACTGTTTTATGCACAAAATTCAGAAATAAAAAGCCAACCCCCCTCCAAATTTTTAAATAAATAAATAGAGAGCTGGTTTTTAAAAAATATCAAATATAATAGTACAGAATGGGATACAAATCAAGAGATGGTTTGTGAATGACTGATGCTTGAGAACTACTCTTTTAAGAAATCACAATGATTGTGAGGGCCAAGTCCTTTGGCTGGAGAGGCAAGGCTTCCCGGCACTGTAGGGAACACAGGGCTGTGACAAACCAGGCATCTGACACCCCTCGGGGATGCCTTCTCAGCTCCAGGGTCACGCCGTGCCCCGATGGACCCCATCCCCTCCCCTCCAACTCTCCATCCCTCAGAGCCTGTGTCCCCCTATAGATCAGGGGAGAAACTCCCGGGAAATTTGACAGCAGTTTCATCCTGACACGATTATAGGAAATAACGCCACACCTGGCCATGCATTTGCCACCAGACCCTACCTCCGCCTCCAGGTGATGCCCCTGGGTTGAGGGGGAGGAACCCAGATGCTAGAGAGAGGAATGGGCAGCATGAGATATTAAAGTTAGACAAGAGTTAGTTACAGGAGTTAGAATACACCTATGAAGACTGGCATTTCTTTAGCCAAAGCAGATCACAATAGCAAAGGGCAGCCCGGGGCAGATGGATAAAAAGCACATGCGGCGCGGGGGGGAACAGCCAGAGCGCACAAATGAGTGAAGTGACTCCCCCAATCCCAGTCACCTAACAGGCAACGGAGGGGCCTGCAATGAATCAGACAGCAGTGACCTCCACCAGAGGCACCCCTGCTCAGCTCCAGCAATTGTACCTTCAGGAGGCAAAAACCTGGATTCTGATGTGAAATCTCCCAATTTTTTTAATGCAGGCAAATGAGCCAGAGAGGGCTGGACTCGGTCCAAGGGCCACCAGTTCGGAGCCTCCATCGGGAGCCCGCAGGATGGGACCGGACTGACTGCAGGAGGCCGGTGTCCCTTATGGCACCAGCATGTAGTAAGTGCCTGCTGTATATCCAGGATTCTGCCACTGGCCTACGGGCCCCCGGTGTGGCTGAGAAGAAAACTCGGGAATATGGGCAGGAGGAAGGTGGGCTGGCCTGGAGGAGGGGATACTCACAGGCCCCCGACTGTAGAGTTAGGACCAAAACCAGGGGGCTGATCACCAGGTGCAGACAGTTGAGAGGCCGCTTCCAGTTTCTGTCTTCTTTGTCCGGGTCCACAAGGGGGACCGTGAGGAGCAGCAGAAACTCCACGGGCAGCTGTCCAGTGTGCACAGACGGGAGGGTGTCACCGGGGAGGCCTGTGCTCGGCCGGCCATACCCTGAGCTCGGTTCCTCAAGAAAGCGGCTGTTATTAATAAAGCACCCACTGCGTGCAGGCCTGGGCTAAGCGCCTGCATTAGGCATCTGCTGCTGCTGTAACTCAGGGCCACGTGCTGAGTGCCCTTGAACAATAAAATGTATTCCTTTCTGGCTCCGGAGGACAGAAGTCCTAAAATCGAGGAGCTGTCAGGGCCGCGTTACTTCTCGAGGCTCTAGGGGAGAATCTGTTTCCTACCCTTTCCAGCTTCTGGGGGCCCCCCCCCCCGCCTTCCCTGGCTTGTGGCCCTGCGTCACTCCGAGCTGTGCCTCTGCCGTCCTATCTCCTTCTCTGATTCTGCCCCTTCTGCCCCCCTCTTTCTCTATAAAGACCCTTGTGATTACATCGGGCCCATCTGGATAACCCGGGATACTTTCCCAATCTCAAAGCCCTTATTCACATCTGCCAAGTCTCTTTTGCCACTTAAGGTAACATATCCACAGGTTCTGGGGATCAGGACATAGACATCTTTGGGGGGGCCACTATTCAGCCAACCACAGTACCTCATCGACTTATTCCTGACGACAACCCTATTCATAGGAACTATTATTTTCTTACCTTCCAGTTGAAGAAACCGAGGCTCAGAGAGGTTAAGAGAATTCTCCAAAGCCACACAGAAGGGTATGTGTAGCTGGGATACAGGACCAGCTCTGACTGACTCCACACGACCCAGCTTATCTCAGTCTGAGAGGGTCTCAGCAGTTCTCCCTCCCCCTCAGTGAGCTAAAGAAGGTTGAGTGGCCACTGCGAAGAAGTCAGGACCCCAGTTCCAGGGTCCCTGTCACCCCTCCTACCTTAAACACTTTGAGAACCCTCCAGTAGGTGGGCTTGTTCCTCCACTTCCTGTAATCCACGGGGTTGAGGGCCCGGACTAGGATCTGGGGCGTGGTCTCCTGGCAGAGGAGCAGCGGCTGGTACTCTTCCCCTGGGTGGACAAGGCAGGAAGGGCAGGTGTCCGTGGCTGGCTCAGCCTCCAGGAAACCCTCTCCTCTCCCACGAGTCCTCCCAACCTTTGCAAAGAAGGAAAAAACGCCACGCCTGGCAGAAGGCAGGCAGGCACACCTGGTCCGCAGCTCGGCTGAGGTACAGTGAGAGGTGAGGCTGGTTCGTGGCCTCATTCCTGGGGTGTGGGTGGCCCCATCTCCCCACCTCTCCACCGCACGCCCTGCCCTGGGACCCCCAGCCCAGGTGGGAACAGGACTCGCTGGACTCACTGTAGTCATAGCTATTGGTGGTAGAAGACACCCGGTCCTCCTCCTCGGAATCTGAGAGCATCTCTGTAGGAGAGAGGGGCATGTGACAGGAGCCAGCCAGGGAGCCCGGCCCCTCCCCACCCCATCCTAAGGTAGGGCTCCTCTGGGACAGGGCAGTTTTCAGGGTGCAAGGGGCCAGCCCTCTGTATTTTCCATCACTCGGCAATCGCCATGCACGCTCCGGAATTCTTACAGTGAGAAAGTCTAACCCATAAAACGCTCTCAAATGTGATGATGTAGCTGGCAAACGAGGACAAAGCAGGTGATGAGGAGGCTTCAGTAGCACAAGTAAAAGCACGAAGGTGGGACCTTGGTAGACTGAGTGGAAATAGTGCAGACAGGAGACGGGCATTGGCAGAGGCTTCCGGAGAGGTGGGGCCGCCGAGGGTGCCACTGGTCCTCCCTTGGGGCCCAGTTCAGACTCTTACCTGGAGTGCCCGGCATGGAGTGGACCAGGGATCTCCCCCGCTGCCATCGGTAGATCCAGGTGCAGAGAACCACAGTGACCACGTAGAACACATACAAGCCGAGGTAACCTGCAGACGAGGGTGCAGGCCGTCACCAAGTGGCATCCTGGCCGCAGGGTCCAGAGAGCAGAGGCTGCCAGTTCTGTTGCCGGTACATGTTAGCGGTGGCTCTCTGTGTCCACCAGCCCAGAACCAGTAGGTAAATGGCCATTCCCTGGAGTCTTGTCCCCACCTCTTCTGCCTTCCTTGGCCCATCTTCCCTTCCTACTCCCCACCCTAACAACCTGGCATTCAAGAAAGTGGCCTCCTGGACCCCATAACAGGTACCAAGGGGTGGCGTCCTGCTCTGTGCCCTGGGAGGCTGAGCCCTGCAGACTGCATCCCGGAGCTCTGGCTGCACTGTGTTTAGCCGATGGGGGAGGGGGAGCAACTGCAGAAGAGAAGGCAGCAGGAGAGAGTCTGGGGTATTTCTTCCCCGCTCCCTCCCTGCTGCGGTGCCCCGTCTCTGGCGGGCCGGGCCCTGTGATTCTCCATGACTGTCGCTCATGCAGGGTGGAACCAGCTCCGGGACTCCAGCCCTTAGTAGGCTCCAGTCACTCCATCCTTTGCCACTTCGGGCATGGGAAGCAGGCAAGGGGGGGAACGGCCCCCACTGTGGCTGGTCCCTGGGTGTCTGCATATCTCAGTGTCCCTTGCTGGTTTCCTTAACCCTCTGCAGATTGTCCCTCCATCCACGCCACCTGAACCATCTGAATGGAACGTGTATGCTGCTGGGACCTCGATGGCCAGTCAGCATCCCAGCTCTACTGCTTGCTAACATTTGAAATTGTGAGAAGTCTGAACGTCCCTCCCGCTCTGCCCTGTCCCTTCTGGTTATCTGAACTATGTGTTTTGTTTTTGCTCAAGCTGGCTCGAGTAGGGTTTCTGTCACTTGGAACCAAAGGAGCCCTGACTCTGTGCCCTGCTGGCCACCCCTCCTGTCCCCTTGTGCCCCCCACTCCATCAGCCCTGGGGTGACCCTGCCCGGGCCCTCTGTGGCTGCTTACCCAGGGCCCACGCCAGCGTGACCCTGCCGAAGTAGAGTATGTTGAAGGTCAGGTACACGGCCACCATGTAGAAAATGATGTCTCTGAGGAAAGGCCTGGAGGCGGCCGTGAAAGGGCGCAGGATGGAGATGCCACCGGCCACCACGGTGGTCACCAGCACACCGGCGCCTGGGGAGAGGACACCAATCTCAGCCCACTCTGCGCCCCCTCCTGCTGCCCCCCCACCCCCAGCCAGCCTGCTCGTACCGAACAGTGCCCCGAGGGCCAGGCCAGCTGTGTGCGGGTCCGAGAAAGCCACCAGGGCACTGAAGATATCAGGTGCACCGTTCCCAAAGGCCAGGAAGGTGACGCCATGGGGGAGCGTGTCAAGGGAAGGTCCGTGCAGAGGTCCCAACCTGCCCAGGCCTTGCCTGGGCCATGAGCCGCCACCCTGACTCCCAGCCACCTCCCTAACCACCCTCCCTTCCCTCCTGGGTGCAGGACCTGGACAAAGGATACTGCCACATTGTGAGAAAGTTTGAGCATGGTGGAAATGGCTGACAAGTTAGGGCAGAAACTACAGAGAAGAAGCAAATGCTGAGGGCTCCACAGTGAGTGGCCTCCTGCTCCGCCCTTCCCCAAACCTGGGGTTGCCCAAATGTCCACCTCCCAGGATTCCGTTTTCCCCCATCCATAAGCTTAACGTGAGCCCGAGGCCAAACTCACAACTTCTCCGCTGTGACTCCCAGAATCAGAAACAGGTAAAGCAGCCAGAAAGCCTGGGTAGCGGGGGCCAGAGAGGGAAGGGAGTGTTAGGTTCCGCCTGGGCCACCAGCCCCACCCACAAGATGGAGGAGGGGGCAGGGCCTCACGTGGAGGGTGATGGCCAGAGGGAGGAGACTGGGGGGGAAGTGGCAGAAGATGCCTTCCAGGTAGTCCAGGTAGCCCCCCTGGCTGTGGCAGTCAGGATTGGTCCGGATGAAGTCACAGCGGTCAGAGGCGTTTAGGCCACACACATCACGGCACTGTGGGAGGGGAGAGAGGGGGATGTCAGGGGTCAACACCCCAAGGGTGACTGGACCAGACCCATCTAAGAAGCTGGCCTGGCCTCTAAGTCCCCTATACCCTCCAGGTGCCTACTGTACACTTGAATTTCTTTAAAATAAACTTGTGTTTGAAATTAACACAAGTCATTAGTGTTAAAAAACAAAAACAAACAACATATAAAGATCTCTAAATTCTCCTTCTCATCCCTGCCCTACATAATCCCACCTCTTTCCAGAGGTCCTGCCACAATCCGTTTGAAGCGTACCCTTACAGACATTTCTCAGTTCAGTGACATCTGTATATACACCTTCTTCTACAGTTTGTTTTGTTTTGGATCCATCCTTGCTTTTTGCCATTTGCTTTTACCACTGCACACATATGCCATATACTAATATATTGATACACATCATGATGAAGGCAGTAATAAAAGTCAAACATTCTGAGTGATTTCTAAATGCCAGGCACAGAGCTAGGGGCTTAAAACATATCTCGATCGGCACAACAGTCTCGTGAGGAAGGTAGTATTATCATGACTATTATACAGATAAGGAGACTGAAGCAGTGTGGCCTTTTGGGACTCTAGAAACCCAATTTTTCTATCATCATGCCCGGCCTCACTGCAGAGTCTTTTTAACAGCAGCCCCGTAAGTGATACAAAATGGTGACATTTTCCTCCTGGTGGGAATCGGGGTGTGTCTAATTAACCAATCATATCAACAACGAACTTCCTCAGACATGACTCTGAGCACACGTGAGAACGTTTTGTCAGAGAGAATTCTAGAAGTGAAAGTGCTGAGTCAGAGCATGTCTTAGGCCGGATTTCTCCAGAAGCGACCCAGAGGCAAGAGTTCACAGGCCCACCTTGTTTTACGGTGCTTTGCAGATATCGTGTTTTTTGTTGCTGTTGTTGTTTGTTTTGTTTTGTTTTGTTACAAATTGAAGGTTTGTGGCAACCCTGTAACAAGCGAGTCCATCAGCATCATTTTTCCAACGGCGTTTGCTCGCTTCCCGTCCCTTTGTCACATTTTGGCAGTCCTCCCAGTAGCTCAAACTTTTTCATTATTGTACAGTACAGTATAGTATAAACATAATTTTTATATGCACCGGGAAGCCTTCAAATTCGCGTGACTCGCTTTATTGCGGTATGTGCTTTATTGCGGGGACCTGGAACCGAACTCGCAATATCTCTGAGGCATGCCTGTATAGGTGAGTAGCATATTTGAGAGGTGTGTCGATTACAAGCACTGAAATGGGGGAGTGGACGGGGCAGGGAAAGCAGCCAGCGAAGGCTGGGTAGAGACCGTTCTTACCTTGGGCTGTAATCCTAGGGGTCAAGGAGCTGGGATATTTGTAAACCAACTCCTGTCAGTCATCAGCGAGGGCTGCAGGGGAGAAAGGTGCCAGCTCCCCAGCATTTCCACCCACTATGCATATGGGTACTTCTGGGGGGAAAAGCCAGCAACGAGAAGTCAACAGAAGCCCACCAATACGGTAGGGTCCAAAGGATATGGGAAGGGTCTTCACGGTGTCTATTGCAGAGGGATAAGCATCTTAAACCTTGATGGACTTTGCCCAAATGCCTTCCCCAAAGCTCTATGTACACCCACTCCACCAGCAGTGGGAACTGAGCGTGTGTCTACACCTGCACCAACACTGGCAGCCACAGTCCCGTTCAGGCTAATGTGGTAGGAACTTCCTTGTTTAATTGCAAGTCCCTGCTTATTTGTGAAGCTAAGGGCTCTTTTCATGTCTTAGTGGCCACGTTCATTCCTTCTATGAACTGCTAGTTTTTTCAATTCTAATGTCTGCTTTTTCTGACCGACGTGTAGCAATTCTCTATATAACGGACACGCATTTTGCTTCGGCAATGCCCTCGGCCTTGTGGAAGAAAAAAGGGGTTCTATGGAAAGTAACCTCACGGGGTGATCTGATCACGATGAATTTCTACCTGGGCAAGTCACGGTGGTAGCCATGCCTCGGGCCTCTAACTTCTTTAGTGAAAGGTTTAAAGCCAGCCCTGTCCATTGTTTTCGTGCATCTAGGTTAACACACCTTTGAAATACCAGACAGAATACCCCTCAAAGGAGTTCTTAATAGTCAAGAGAGCACAGACTCTCGTTAACTATCCTATAACCCAATCCCCGCCATGCTTCCTCTCACCTCCATGTACCTTCCCTCCTTAATTTCAAATGCATAAAAGAAGCTACAAAACTTAGTTTCTGGAGCATTTGAGATCTTGCTCTCTGCCATATGTCATCACTTTGGCTCAAATAAACTCGTATAAAGATTCTCTACAGGTTTACATGTTTCTTATGTTGACAGCCTAAAAGGTTTCCTTTCTCAACCTTTTTGTTCAAAAGCTTTGTCAAGACCACTATTAAGGATGGCTGCTATTAAAAATAAATAAGTCACAAGTGTTGGCAAAGGTGTGGAGAAATTGGAACCCTGCACCGTTGGTGGGAATATAAAATGGTGCAGATGCTGTAAAAAAACAACATGGCAGTTCCTACCCAAAATTAAAAATAGAATTACCATATGATTCAGCAAATCCACTTCTGGCTATGCACCAAAAAGAAATGAAAGCCGAGTCTCGAAGAGATATTTACACATCCACGTTCACGGCAGCATTATTCACAATAACCGAAAGGTTTGGAAGCAACCCAAGCATCCATCAACAGATGATTGGATAAACAAAATGTGGTGTACCCATACAATGGAATGTTATTCAACTTTAAAAGGGAAGCAAGTTCTGGCACATGCCACAGTGTGTTTGAACCTTGAGAACATCATGCTAAGTGAAATCAGCTAGTCACAAAAAGACTAATGCTGAATAATTTCTATTCATATGAGGTACCTGGAGTTAGTCAAATTTATAGGGACAGAAAGCAGAATGGCAGTTGCCAGTGGCTGATGTGGTGAGGAAATGGGGAGTTTTTGTTTCATGGGCATAGAGTTTTAGTTTTGTAAGATGAAAAAGTCCTGGAGATGGATGATGGTGATGACCGCACACCAATGTGACTATACTTACTGCTGCTGACCTGTACACTTAAAAATGGTTAAGATGGTGAATTTTTTAAGTTAAGTATATTTCACCACGAAATTTTTAAAAAAGCTTTGCCAATCACAGTTCCACCTCCTCCACAAGCCCTCTCTGAACTCCCACCAAACCCAAAAGAGAGGTGAGATTTCTGGTCCCCAAAACCTCTGGCCATCTCCCCGTGCCTTGATCACTGGTTCTCTACCGATGCAACACTGAACCCACCGTACCCACTTCCTGTGTGGTTCCTTCCACCTAGTACACCACTCCTTCTCCCTCCACCCCCCAGTTAATCCATATTTATCCTCTAGTTCTTAGTTACCAAGATGCCTCTTCCAGGAAGCCTTCCCTGACCACCTCGCCCTAGGCCAGACACCCTAGGACTCTGAAATCCCCCAATTATTTGTAAGATCACAGACTTGTTTAATGTCGGCCTTTCCCACCAATGTCTTGCACAGTGCCTGGCACATAGTAGGTCCTCATAACTGTTTTGCCACACACTGTACCGGGCGCCATCTCACTCAGCCTTCGTAATAGGCCTAGGAGGTTGGTACGATTATTTCCACTTCATAGATGAGCAAACGGAAGCCTCCCTTACAGCCCCAGGCAACGCGGCCACCCCTCTCCATTCCACGCTATCACATTCCTGTTCTGTTCTCTATTTTTCTCACCACCAGGTGAAGTTATCCTGTGGATTTACTTGTTGACTTGTTTCTCATCCGTGTCCCCCAATAGATAGTAAATTCAATGAGGGCAGGGACCATGTTGATCTGCTTCCCTGCTAGATCTCCAGCATGTGGCACAGTTCCTGGCACATAGTAGGTCCTTAATAAGTATCGATGGACTGAATGACTACTCATAAAGGACCAAAGTGAGCAGTGAGTGGCCTTCCACAGCCTGTAGGCTTCATGGACAGTGGCGGGACAGAGGCTGGCGGGACTCCCGGAAGGGTAGCTGCCCGCGTCAGTCCTAGGAGGTGGTGTGAATTCGGCACGAGGTGGCCATGAGTTCATATCCCTACTCTGTTACTTTCTGTGTGGGCAACTTCCCCTCCCTGAACCTCAGTGTCTTCATCTATAGCACAGAGATAATCATACTCATCTCAGGCGGCTGGGGGATGATTTGGTGAGCTTGGCACGGTGCTCGATGACTCAGAGAGATGACAGAAAAAGTCATCTGTATCGGAGAAGGCACAAACTACAGTTAACCCCAGTTTTCCTGACCCCAAGGAGTACACCCCCAAAGGCAGCAATTTTATAACCTCGGTATTGACAAACCACTTTCTCATCTGTAAAATGGGCATAATTACCTGTTCACCTGCCTTAGAGGGGGGACATGAATGCACTTGGTGGCCCAATAAAGTTGGCGAGGGCGCTAAAAACACTGTTAGAGCATTGGTACCAGGACATTTCATTTTCCTGC